AGTCTTGCTTCTTAGTGACTCCAAATCCATTCTAAGCTAAGGTTGCCTTTAGAGCTATGGCAGGACACTCACAAAGTGAAATCTGTCTCACCAACCAATGTAGAGAATGACTTCAGTCAAGTGAAAGTCACTCAGGGACGTGTGAAGTAGAGAAGACAAGTCCAGAGGTCAGATAATAAGGACTGGACTTGTAATAGTAAGTGCCGGACTGGTGACAACTTTAAACATGGGTCATGGGTCAGCCTCTCCCAGCCTTCATTCTGCACCAGTAAATAACATGATAGTCTTATACAAGGGAATCTTTTATATGTTTTCTAACCCCAAAATTTTTTAAAATTTATTTTTAAAAATTTATTTAGTATTATCATGATCTTGTTTATACTACATTGAATCACATGTAACTTTACAGTATATTACTTTTCTTTTTCCAGAAGGAATACCTCACATATAGTCAATACAAAGGCATTAAAATCCCCATCATCATCCAATAGCTTTTCATTTATTTTCATATTATTATTATTATTTTTAATTTTATTTATTCATTTTTAAAAATTTGACCAGAAAGAGATGCACAGAGAGAGAGAGAGAGGGAAAGTGAGAAAGTGAGAAAGCAAGCTGCCAGGTCTGGGACTTGAACTATAGTCAGCATGTGGGAATGTCTAGTGCCTTAACCACCATGTCCCTCAGATTATTATTATTCCAATTTTTAAAAAACATTCAATATCATTTTGCTTGTAAAAAGACTTTACTCAACATGGAATACCTCTCTGACCAGTCCAGTTGAGAATACTATACATGTCATCAACAGGTAATAAACCATATCTGCATCCCACTAATGTCATGCCTCTCTATTTGTACTCTTGCTATCCTTCTCTATTCTCTTCTCCTGTCCTGTTCCACACTGTCTTATCATTGCTAACTATTTTCATTGCTTTTATGCCCTCCAATATATATATTTTTTGAGAGGTTTTTGCCATAGGGTGTGTGCGCTTGTCAGACAGACAGACAGACAGAGACAGACAGAAAGCGAGAAATCACCCCCCAGGGGGGATGGCCACACCGCAATTCCTTCTCCTCCATTCTCCTGTCGGGATCTTGAGCACGCATGCACACGCACCCGGCGTGAGTTTTAAGCCACTGGGTCCGGGACGCGAACCGCAGTCGACCACATGGGAGTCCAGCGACATAGCCATTACGTGAACTGCTGGTCCCCCCTCCAATATTTTGATCTTTATCATAAAGTGTGGATAGTTGCTATATATTAAGTGGATACTTAACAATATTTTTCTTTCATATCCTGGCTTACTTCACGCAGCAATAGATCCTCCATATTCAACTACTTTCTATCAAA